ATTTTGTGTATGAGGGCTCATGGTTCACTTGACAATAGTGAGGGGATCAGGTGTCCTTGGTGTAGATGAAGCATCATAACAGACTTAAAAATTGGGCTGAAGGGAGAGTACAAAACTAAAATAATCTCTCAGGGTATGTCTACACTGCAATTAAAAAACCTGCGGCTGGCCCGTTACAGCTGCCTCAGGCTTCTGAGGCTTGAACTAAGGGGCTGTTTAACTGCAGTATAAATGTTTTGGCTCGGGCTGAAGCCCAGGCTCTAGGATCCTGTGAGGTGGGAGGGTCCCAGAGCCTGGCTGCAGCCTAATCCCAAGTAGCTACACAGGCCAGCCACAGGTGTCTAGTTGCAGTGTAGACATACCATAAGCCAGCTATGCAATGAATTGTTCTGCATAATGCACTATTAGCTGCTTGTACTATTAATACAGTACTTTATTCTCTGGTGGGAAGAACTGTCTTTTTCTTTTGGATATAAGATGTATTCATGACAGATACTTCTGAAACTGCAGGGGATCGTCATTAACTCACCACCTTGCTGTGGACAGCTGGAAGGAGAAGCTAGTGGATCAAATTCATCTCTGGTGCAACCTTATTGAAAGTGGGGTGATAAAGTGAGATACGAATGGAGAGGCATAAAATAAGAAAAGGCTCTTACTGGCACGACATGGTGACATGGGTGGTGATTGCAAGTCGAATGTTATTTGAAAGTACCATCAAAGGTAGATTAAAATCAGAAATGCTATGAGAGGAAATGGATAACCAACCCAACGCAGAACACTGCTTACATGTGCACAGCAGGGGTCTCTAAGGAAAGTGTTTGTTGTGGAAGAAATAAAAGGTCATGTCAAATTGATTTAATACCTAGGAACATTATTGGTATTTTGCTTAGTCCCTAATCTACCAAACATAAAACAAGAGTTGTGTGCCATCTGTTTAACCCCCAAAAGATGTTTCTTCAGATCAGAATATTTAAACAAATATATTTTGATGAAAAGTTTTAAAAAGAAACCTATCATTTCAAGACAATATGGGCTTTTCTTTAATCATAAGATATGCTTGGAATGTCCTGCAGTTTAGATCAAATTTTAATCCCTTGATGAAATTTAATTATTGTTTTTCCGTTAATTTGCATTATGTGGCACAAGCCTGAGTTACTGAGTGTATCGGTGTGAGTGTACATGGTTGGGACCAGATAGAAAATTAAAATGGTAACATATATAATAGATCATTGCTGTCTTAATAAAGGCCCGCACAACAGAGTGCAAATACTGTAAGTGCTAAAACTGAAGTAACAAACACAAAGTTCTCAATTTTTAAACTTACAAATGTGAAGCAGATTGTGCTGTATTATATAAGAAAAAGTCTGATTTCAAAATGGATAACACACAGTCTGCACAGAAGGAGACAACTAGCAAGTGACTAAAATCTATGAATAATAAAACAAGTGTTAATACTAAATCTAAACAAATACTAACTGCTTCATCACAAGCTATAAATAAATCATATTGCTTTTCAGCAGCAGCCCTGGAACACCATAATAGTCAGCCCAGCTCTATAGAATCATAGGGTTAGAAGGGACCACAAGGATAATCTCTGTTGTGTCTAAACCATCCAAGACAGATGGCTATCCAGCCTCCTTTTGAAAACCTCCAGTGAAGGAGCTTCCACGACCTTCCTAGGCAGTCTGTTCCATTGCCCTACTGTTCTTACAGTTAGGAAGTTTTTCCTGGGATTTAGTAGAAATCAGAACTCCATAACAAAGTTTAATCCCTCAGACAAAGTAAGTTACTTGGTTGGAAATAATACCATAATCCTCATTTAACCACTTTAGACCTTTTAGCATACAGGGAGCAATAGCAACATGTTTCAGTGTTTAGCCAGTCCGCCCTTGCTGGGGGGCCCGAAAAAAAATTTTCAGCGGGGCCCGAACCCGCTCTCGGCGGCCCTGGTGGTGAATGAAGTAATTCCCTTCTATAAATACAGTTTGTAAAGTATGCAGGGATCCTCCTGAATTAATGGTTCTATATAAAATCATTTTCATAATGAATCATGGCAATGAGTGCATACTAAATTGCAGTACTTTATTTATTTAGCATCTTTGATCCATAGCACTTATATAAAAAAAGCAATAATGAAAATTCCTTACAACCAATACAATAAAAATAGTGACTCCTTGGGGAACTTCATTTTCCTTCATAAAATGCAAATTGGAAACATTCCATTCAATTTCTGAAGAAATGACTGAACAATGTCCCTATGAATAATAAATCTATAAGACAAGATAATTTATATCTTATTTAAATAATCCAAAGTTTGCAATGCTAAACTAACAGCTGGGGGAATTCGTGACCCTTTGACAATTCTACATGTCTGCTGAAAGAACTGGCCTAAAAATAATATACTATTTAGGATTTTTTAAAAACTCTGTGAATTCTTTGCTTGTGAAGCTGAGAAAATAAGACCCCTGGCTAGAGAGAGATTCTGCATAGACCACAAACTGGTAAACCTAATGAAGGCCAAATTATCCTTGGCATCAATGGAAATTTTTGCCAGCTCTGCAGGATTCAGCCCACTCTGTGTATAATTGCTATGCAAGATCTCCCACATACTTCTTTCCAGGTATATCAATCCTGACCTGAAATGCCCATAATCTAGTGCTGTGCTTCTTTTGATTACCATTCCAGATTTGATGATAGTGTCCAAAGGTTCCAGTTCAGTACTAGGTTGAGACCACCAAATTTCGCTACACCTGTGACCCAATACAGAAATTGATCTCAGTCCTCCAGAGGCGAAAGCACTGGCCTACCTTTTCAAATGTGAATGCCTACATTTAGACACCTAAATCCACATTCAGAAACTTAAATATAAACTGCCAAATTTTCTGAGGTTCTGAGCACTCATATCTCCTGCTGAAGTTACAGAGAAATATATGGACATCAAAAAGGATTTTTTTTAAACAAAAACATTTAGAAGGGATTTAAACTCTCATGCTTCAGGGCATAAGCCAACCACTAACTGAAGGGGGCTGGGAAGAAATTTGCATTATGGGCAGGTTATTCCACATCTACCTACTCTGAAGCATGCGGTGCTGGCCACTGTCAGAAACAGCACACTGAATTAGCTGGACCTCTGGTCTGCTGTGGTTTGACAACTCCTATGTCCTTCTGACCCAAGGTGAGCTATGGATGCGCAGCATCTGTGATAGTCAGCCCTTTTTAGTCAAGTGCCTGAATATTATTGAGATGCCTAATTTTAGGCTTCCAAATGTGACAATTTTGGCCTTAGTGCTTTAAGACACTTCCTAATCTCCCTAATTTGAATCTATTCTCTGAACCCACCTTATCTTCATAAATTGCTATACTACAAATTGACTTGAAAACTATAGATAACTGGATGGCAATATAGCAGGGTTTGAACAGAAAAGAGCCATTTTGCCAGCTGAGTACTGGTAGTTTGCTTGACAGCACAGTTCTCTAGTAAACAGGAAATATGATAGTATGGTAGAGAGGGCATTGTCTGAGCTGAGAGTATTGATCCTTAAACCATTTCAGTGGGCAGGGAGAGACAACTTTGAGTACTCATAAGATTAGTTTATGCAGAGTCATGACTTGGACAATTAAATATCAAGATCTGCTGTCTTGTTTAAAACAGACTTTACAAATACTAGGTCAGATTCTCAGCTGCTTTAAATCATCAAAGTCATTGGACCAGATGAGGATCTGATCCAATAAGTGCCCTTTCTTGGTCTTAGCCTTAATGCTTCTTCCTGAACTGAGAGACAGGAGTCCTTTTCTGAACCATTTTTTAAGTAGAAATACTAGCTATATTTATTCCCTTAGAGTTTCATCTGCAGAAATCTTAATGAGATTATTTACCATGGACACCTGTTTTAATTCTCATGCCAAGCATCAAAACAGTCCTCCCTGACAAAATTAGACTGTATCTCAGAAATACATATGCTATCTTTTTAATTAGTCATCTTTCAGTAGGTAAATGTCAGCTCCTAAAATACTGCCTTTATCATTCACTTTGGAATATTTCCATACTCTAGAGAGACCCAAGTTTTCACATGTGGCTTCTAACTGTTGGATGCCTCCATTTTGGGGAGCCCAACTTCCTCTGAAGCCCACTTCCTTCTTCCTTCCTTTGGGCCTGACTTTCAGAGATGCTGAAAGTCTGCAGCTCCTTTTGAAAATGTGGCCTTAAAGCTCTCATAATTTAAAAGCTTTGGGTATGTTTTTCAGAAGTGCTCAGTATTGGCCTATCTCTGCTCCCAGTGAGGGCAATGGGATTTTTTCTTCTGATGTGGCTGGAAGCAGAGTTAGACAATGTCGAGTGCTTTTGAAAATCTCACTACGTGTTTAATTTCAAAAGAACACCCAGTGCTTTAATACATGTGCTCTCGAATAAATGCCAATTTTCCCTGAACTGCTACACTCAATCGTGTTTTCAGAGGTGGTTAACATTAGTATTAGCAGGCATAACAAGGTGGCAATGTGTTACTATGTAAACTATTCACAAGTAAGTTTTTAACTTGCAGTTAGTGTCAGATACTTTAAAATGCTCTTTTTAAAATCTGCCTTGTGAGGGCTTTAAACTAATTGGGAAATGTACAGATATTAAGAGTTGTCACATCAATGTAAGTGAAAACAGATTATTTCATTGTTAATTTCACCGTTGTGTGTTTTCCCCTGGATCAACTCATTTCTCTGCTCACACAAGGATGTCTAAAGGAAACAAGCAAATAACAAATCAGCACTGCACCACTAGCACTAGTGTCATGGACACAGTAACACTTGTCTAGAAAAATGAGCATTTTGTTTCTATTCAACAGGATGGAAATGTGCAAACTGTCAGTTTGCAACTAAATTTCCTGTTAGGTGCAAAGGTAGTGCAGTGTCAGCAACACTATATGCTAGAAAAAAAAACAAGGAATAGGAAAATGTTTATAAACACAGCTCTTGGTGCACATCATGCAAACTGCTGTCAGACCTGCAGTCTAATGCAGTGAATCATTTAGGCTTAGTTCGCTGGGAGTACTCCTGCTCAGATTGGTAAAACTGGCCATAAGGGATTTAACTTTATAAGCATAATAGTCCCTTAAATTGACTGATGGAACCTCTTTCATTCCATCACCAAAATCACAGCTCCTCATGGCACTTTCTAGCTGCTTCTGACGCCTATAAAAGTGAGAGAATTTATTGAAGATGAGCGTTATGGGAAGCACTACCACCAAGATACCAGCTAGGATGCATGCAGACGCCGTCAGTTTGCCAGCAGTGGTCCCTGGGACAACATCTCCATAGCCAACTGTGGTCATGCTAACTGTAGCCCACCACCAGCAAGCGGGGATGGTGGCTAAGCCCTCGTTTTCTTCTTTTTCAATGGTATAAGCCACTACCGAGAATATGGAGATCCCAACAGAGAGGTATAGTAAGAGAAGCCCTACCTCCCTGTAGCTATACTTCAAAGTGGCCCCAAGAGACCTGAGGCCAGTGGAATGTCGAGCAAGTTTTAAGATGCGAAAGATTCTCATTAGTCTTAGGACTTGGGCTACTCTACCTAAATTTGCTAAAGCCGGGCTACTTTCCACAACCAAGTTAACAATTAAGGTAATGTAAAATGGCAGGATGGACATGAGGTCAATCAGATTTAGGGCATGCTTGAAAAACTTCAAGAAGTCAGGAGCCACTGCAAATCTTGCCATCAGCTCAAATGTGAACCATGCAATGCCAAAATGTTCCACGATTTCAAACCGAGGATCTTCCTCGGCCTTCCCGTAGCTGTCAACCAGCTGGAAGTCCGGGAGGCTGTTCAGGCACATGGTCACAATGGAACCAAGAACAACCACTATTGACAGGACGCTAAATATTCGGCTCAAGACAGAGTAGCCGGGATTGTCCAGAGCTAGCCAGAGCTGCCTCCTGACGTTTCCAAAGGGTTGTTTGTCAAACTTGGCGGCATCATTGTAAAAGGCCAAGATTTCATCAAACGAAGACGAGGTGCTTTCCCGGTCACTTTGCTCTTCCCATTTCTCTTGATCCGGCTCCATTTTCCTCCCATGGTAACTGTAGCTGCAGCACGAGTCAATGAAGAACTCATTGATTCCCCAGTATTCAATCTCCTGGCTGAAGGAGAACACGCAGAGTTCGCCCATCACGTGGAGCTTGCCGGTGTTGTAAAAATGTAACACGTAGGGGAAAAGTTCGGGGTTCCGGTCAAAGTAAAACTCGTTCTTGGCATCGTCATAATCGTCACAGAGCTCTAATATCGACTCCTTTGAGTGGCAGCTCAGCAGTTTGCCCAGCCTGGTTTCGGGAAATCTTAGTAGGGTGTTGGATCGCATCTTTTTCTTAAAGCCTCCGACGTTGATGCTGATCTCATTGTCTTCCGAATGAGCCAGAGAGAAATCCTCCAGGCTCTGCCCGGGCATAGTGAGCTTCTTCCAAGGGGCGCCGGGAATAGATCTAGAATGGGATCAAACCGCAAATCAGCGCCAGTGGCGAACCCATGGGGATTTCCCCCCTTTCCTGCCTTTCCTTCTGGCCTTTTACCAGCCAGGGCATTGCCACCCGGCCCCCCGAGCCAGCCCCCTCCGCTCACATACACTCAGGGCTGGTCCTTTGCTTCGGAGGAGGTTTAGCAGCGTGACAGTGTAATTAGCATGGGCGGCGAGTCCCTGGGAAATCATCGGTTACCCGGGGCTTGCCTGGCCTCCGCTTGCCTCGCCCCGGGGTTGGGAGAAGCCACCTGGCGTGAAACACGGTGACTGGCCCCTCAGCCTGGAGCGCCCCCGCAATCACAGCCGCTCCTGGGGGGCTGCGAGGCGGCCGGGACTGGACATTGCTACCCGGGCAGTTTGTCTGGATGGGAGACGCTAGCCCCGCCCTTCAGGGCAGGGACCAGCCGGGCCGAGGCTGGCGCGGAGCAGCCCCGTGAGGGCCACTCCCCCAGCTGCCCGGCTCGGGCTCCCCGTCCTCTGCAGGGCCCGCCTCTGGCCCCCAGCAGGGGAGCGCGCCGCGTCCGCCGACCCGCCCGCCAGGCTCCGCCGCCGCCCGGGGAACGCGCCGCCCTACCTGTCCGCTCAGCAGCTGGGCGCCCCGGCCGGAGCGTGGCGCGTCCCGCAGCACCGTGCCGGCATCGCTGAGGCGGGGCGCTCGGGCTGGGCAGGGGAGTCGGCAGCCGCGGGGGGTGGAGAGCCGGGGTTCCTCTCCCCGGCGTGCGCTCACTGGGGCTGGGGAGCGGGCAGCGGCGGCAGGGCTCCCATGCTGGCTCCGCCGCCCGCGGGCTGCCCGAGGCGGAGCGGGCGCGCCGCGCGATGGTGCTGAAGGGACAGCTCCCGCGCCGGCCGCGCCTCCCCACTCAGCGCCGGCAGCCTGCTGCCGCGCGCGCGCCAGTCATGGCGACCACCGGCCGCCCCCCTCACTTCCCCGCTCAGCCCCGCTGGGCGCGCCCCGCCAGCGCCGGGGAACCCCTCGCGGCTGGCCGGGGGCGCTGGGCGCCAGCCGAGCGGCTCGGGCAGGGATTAAACCCCAGCCAGGGTAGGGAGGGGGCTGTAGCCTGGGAGCCCGGCAATGCCCCTAGTGAGGCAGGTTCGCTACGCGTGTCTGTGCATAGGAGCGTAGCCTGGCTCCCTGGCTGAGATTTGATGGCACGAGCACATTTGATGTGCTGGAGGGTTTCTCTCTCTCTCCTACCCCACGCTCCAGCGCTGCATGGAAATGATAACAGCTCCCGAGATTTTCTTTTTAATGCCTGCTCGCCTCACGCTTCCCCTACACCGTGTCTCAAGTTTGCAAAGCGTCACTTGCAAATCAAAGCGATGGCTCCAGTTTCAGTGTGTCAAAGTCCAGAGCCATTTGGGATTGCGCACACAGGGTACACTGGGGCTATGCCTAGTCACAAACGCTGAACACTAGCAGAGAAAACCCAGTTGCCATACATTGGTGCCCTGTATAAATATGGGTAGGTGAGGTTTTGGCTAGGGAGACAACTGAACCGTGTGTGTGTGTGAGAGAGAGAAAGACTGCATTATCTCCCCACCTTCATGCAGCTCTTCCCTACATGTATGAACTTGCCCCTGTGCAGCTAGCGCTGTGAAATTAACAGGTAGTGTTCATTCGGATTGAAAACACATATGCACTTGTCAAAACAATTCACTCTACCTGAAATCGTGCTGAAGCTTGAGATTAGCTAAATGCCACTCACATGTCGCTGCCAGAAAAGCAGGCTCCAAAACTTCAGTGTCTTATACCTTTAAAAAAATTGCTTTACTGCCCTGCCATTTTGGAAGGAAGGATCACGTCGATCTTCAGCAATTTAAATCAGGAACTGCCACGCCTGTTTCCCCTCCCATCCCAGCGCCTTGAGCCTCTTTGTTGCTTTTGGCAAAACAACATTTTTAGACTTCAAGTGCTAGGTAATACTTGGAACAGCAAAGAGTTAGTGAGAACAGTTCTTTCGTCCATGTTAGACGCCAGGTCAGCTTCTGCTACAGACCCATCCTGTGCCATCTCTACAGCTGATTTGATTGTACAATGGGTTTGCTTGTACAGAGCACAAATGCTCTGGGACAGGCGATTTATAAATGGGTTATATATATCTAACTGACCTAAAACTCTGCAAGCTGCATTATCTTGCCCTATTTCTTCTGCTTTTCAGACTCCGGCTCCTGAACGAGCCTGATAACATAAGACTGGCCCTACTGGGTCAGACCAATGGTCCATCCAGCTCAGTATCCTGTCTTCTGACAGTGGCCAATGCCAGGTGCTTCGAAGGGAATGAACAGAACAGGGCAATTATCGAGTGATCCATCCCCTGTCTGCCAGTCCCAGCTTCTGGCAGGCAGAGGCTTAGGGCCACCTGAGCATGGGAGTTGCACCTCTGACTATCTTGGTTAATAGCCATTGATGGACCTATACTCCATGTGGCTCATGACAAGGGATTGCTCTAGTATTACTCTCTAAAAGCTGGTGCTGGAAGCAGTACCAGAGACCTAGGCAAAATGGAGGGTTTTCTGTAGCATGATCCTTTCTGGGGTCTTTTACCATTCCCCCCGTGTCCTAGCTTAGCCCCAGCCCTTATAGATCCCAATGCACTGCAGGGGGGTGGAGCATTTCTCTATGCATGTGCAGCTCTGCTGAACAACATTGAATACACGCTTCTTTAGGGGCCCTCAATGAAACAAACAAAGTTTTTCTTTCAGTGCTTTGGGACAAAACATGCCCCATTGGGGAATTTATGGGTCAGCATTCACTTCTTGGATGGTGGAACAAGCTGGGACATCTGGAACAAAATCACTAAAGCCAGGAACACCTTCAGGAGCTTAAATACAGTCTGGAAATAATCAAAATACAACACCAAACCAAACTCAAGATTTATCAGAGCTGCGTACTTTCAACATTACTTTATAGTGCAGAACGCTGGGTAATGAGAAAGTATGAAATGTCCAAACTATCTTCATTCCATATGACCTGCCTCAGAAAAATCTGTATCTTTTGGCCCAGAACAATCTCAAACCAAGATCTATTGACACAGTGCAACCAAGAGATCTGAGCACCATCAATGTCAGGAGGAGTTGGAGATGGATCGGTCATGTGCTTCAGATGGAAACTGATTCCATCACTAGAGTAGCAATAAGTTGGACACCTGAAGGCAAGAGAAAATGAGGCTGCCCAAAAACAACATGGCGAAGATCTGTGGAAGCTGAGCTGAAAAACCTGCGGCACAGCTGGAGAACCATTGAAAGACTTGCCAGAAACAGACAGGAGTAGAGGAGCTTAGTCGATGCCCTAAACACCAGAGGCCTAATGGGGACATGATGATGATTTACTTCTTGGTATTGTTTATTAAAGCGTCGGGGGTAGCCCTGTTAGTCTGTATCCACAAAAACAATGAGGAGTCCAATGGCATCTGAAGAAGTGGTTTTTTACCCACGAAAGCTTATGCCCAAATAAATCTGTTAGCCTTTAAGATGCCACCAGACTCCTTGTTATTTTTATTAAAGCAGTTAATCGCCTGTTTGCAAAAACCTACCAGTTATTTTTGTAAAGAACATCCTCAGGACCTAAGTAGAAAAGGCTGGCAGCACAAATGGCCTGAGTGATGTGTGGGGCTCAGCGCTGTGCTTCTGATCCTTGCTATGTTGGTAGCCCACCCTCTTCACTTGTTCCCACCCTATGAGGTATGTAGAGTCTCCTGTCCCAGCCTTTGTGCACTGCCCCTCCTGCCCCCACTGCACCTTTCTCCCCACTTTCTCGCTGTGTGTCTCCCCTCTCTGGGTTTCTTTATGTATATGGGCTCATTCTGCAAGGTGCTGAGTGCTCCGGCTCTGATCCAGCAAAGCCTGTAAGCACATGCTTAGCTTGAAGCTGAGGAACAGGCCCATTGAAGTCAATAGTCACTTTATAGATATGAAACACTGACGCCAATAGTTCCAGAGTGCTGCTCCCCTGCCAGCTGTCTCTCATGCTTCTCTCCCTGCATTTGCCTTTCTCTGTATCCCACATCTAATTTCACTGCTTGCTTCCTTCTGTCCTTTCCCTAACTGGTGTGTGAGTGGCTCTCTGATTTCCTCCCTTTCTCTCTCATCCCTTTTCTGGGTATGGGCGGCGTTCTTCCTCACTCCCCCACCCCTGAGGAGGAGGGACACAGCGAGCAGCGGGGACCTCCGGAGCGTGGGGGGGGGGGGTGGAGTGGAGGAAGATTTGCCAGGCATGGCAGGCACCAGCAGCAGCAGGCGGTGGGGGCCTTGGGGAAGGGGCAGGGCACTACGGCCCAGGTGTCTGGTGGCGGGTCGGCAGTGACTGAGCTAGGGAAGGCTTAGCCTTCCCTGGCCTATGATACCCACCGCCCATGGCTCTGGGACTGTTCACCTCTCATTTCTCTGGGGTTTGGTGTCTTTCTCTCATTCTTGCCTTATCTTCTCCGCACACTGGCTCTGTCTCTGTGTCCCAGATAACTGCCCAGTTTTCTCTGGAGGATCTGGAATTCCAACCTGGTTCATTTCATTTTGAGAGAGTCTAACATGACTCTGAATCCACACTGAATTATTCACACCAATCTGTCTGGTATTCAGGGAAAGTGCTGCTGACACTCAACTTAATTTTTCTTCCTTTTTTTCTCCTTCTGGTTAGTACCATACAGCAGGCGGGCAGGCATCCATCTAGGGCTGGTTTACACTCCATAAGGCAGTGCCAGGATCCCCTGCAGTGAGGCTGTCTGACTCTTCAGTGGAGCACACCATTTTTTATAGAGGGTAGCACCACTGTAGTTAACAATGAGTCAATCTTGCTGGACAGGTGCCAGATTCCTTAGGGTATTTGGTAGCCACCCCTGCTTTCAAGAGCAAGAAAAGACAATGGTCTGAGCACGGGACTGGGAGCCAGAAACTTTGGAGCTCTAATCCTAGCTCTTACCTTGACTCTCCCTGTG